TCCTTCTTCTGGGGCGCAGGGACTTACATGAACACATTTAATCGGTCATTGTTGTTAGTGTAGCGCTCAATTGTATATACTAATTCAGGAAAGACAAAAGGAAAATGGGAACATATGTATAAGTATATATATCCGATAAATGTCAGAATTTTAAAGATTTGGTGTATATATATATATGTGTGTGTGTATATGTATGTATGTATAAATATATTAAATCATCTTGTCTTTCATAGCTTTTAGTAATTCAAATATTTTGAAAAAATATATCAATAATATTGTAAAACATCGAAATTGCATATAGTGCTTTATACATTATTATTATTACTTATTCATTTCCATTTTAGTTATTATTCAGCTATTTCCCTAGGTAGTGTTATTGCCTCCAGCACTTTGAATAAAAAGAACATTTTACGAAATGTTTTAATACTTTTCCTCACCATTTATCTTAATTGATGTTGCAGTAGCATCTGTAACATGAGTTGACGCCACTTGCGTGGTCCACGTAATGTTAGCTATATAATTACCAAATCAAAGTCAATTTACAGTTGTAAGCATTTTGTAAATAAATATTTGAGACAAACAAACCTTTTTTCTTAACTTTCAGCTGAACGATGTAAGCGAGGACTCCGCCTTTGCTTTCACGAATATTTGCAACATATTTCAAATCATCGTTTAGGCTCACATTCTTTAACTTAAACCAAGCACGGCCCATTTTCAGGTTACCAACAAAATAAACCCTCGGTCTATATTTAGGATCCATATTTTTGTTGTAGTTCACAACAGTTGTGAACACATTGGTGTTGATAAACTGAGAATCAGGATGGTTCCCATTTTTTATTCCCCAGTTGGCAGAATAAATTATTCTTCCGTCATCTGTAGTCCAGTTAAACAAAGCTTCATCTCCAACATGACAAATGATTGGGTTTTCGGGTGAGATTACGTTACAAGCTCCTGCAATGAGAAAGTTTATGAAATCGATTATTCCTTTGCAGATGTGGAAACAGCCGCCATCTTGGATGTTTTTAACAAAATACTTGTGAATTAATTATTTTATTATGTCATCCAACATGGCAGTCRTATCTTTTGTTATTTCACTGATTCCCATGGGAATGATTGAAAAAATAATAATGAGCTAAAAACTATGTACAGCTTTCTAGTTCACTTTTTGATTAATGGAAATATAACATATGGTGAAATTATAACATTTGGAAAAGAACTAAGATGATTATCCTCCAAGAAGAATGTCCATCACACACAAACACAGATATATATGTAATGTATACAGTATGAGTGGCCGTGTTGTATCTGATATACAAACTCAAGGCGTCGCCTCGAGTTTGTATATCGGATACAACACGGACACGAATACTGTAGATTACTTATCAAACGTCTAGGTTAGTTCTTTTGTGTTTCACTAAAATTTTCAAGATAAAAGTGAATTTGGCCAAGAAAATCGAACTTAAAGTTTATGCAAATGAACAGGATTCTGTATCTGATTTACAGAACTCTTCACGGTCGTGATTTCTGTTGTGTTTTCCTCATGAATTATTAAAGAGTTTGATAAATATATATATGAATGCTAAAATGCTCAGTATTGAGCGAATGACCTAACTGGTAAATATATGGATGAAATTGTAGTTCATTTGTCTTTTTCTTTTCTTACTATATATATCACGCTCTACACCCATGTATTGAGTACTGTTTCACAGAAATCAATTCTATACTTATATATATATAGTCATTTACAGCCATTTACAAAAAATATGGCCGCTTCCACATATATGTACAAGTATATCAAAAATATATCAAAAATTATGGGATATATCTGCCCGCCCCTGCGTCAGGACCATGGTCAAACATGTTTAAAACATGTTAGAACATCGTCAAGCAAACATGGTTGACCATGGTTTGTCCATGATGTGACCATGGTTTGACCATGGTCAACCATGAACGTTAAATTGCACAAGTTTAACCATGGTCAACCATGGTCAGTTAGTGTCTTGCTATGTAAGACAACAACCATGGTTTGACCATGGTCAACCATGTTTGGAAGCAAAATAAATACCATGGTAGACCATGGTCAACCATGTTTAAAAGCAAAATCAATACCATGGTAGACCATGGTCAACCATGTTTAAAAGCAAAATCAATACCA